GTTACCAGGGAAAAGGGGGGGTGGGGGGAGGGCACAAAGGGTGAAGTGGTGTACCCACAACATTACTAACAATAATGTACAACTGAAATCTCACAAGGTTGTAATCTATCATAATCTTAATTTAAAAAAAAAATCACAGATCAAGAAACTCTAGGGCCAGCCCCGTGGCTGAGTGGTTAAGTTCATGCGCTGTGCTTCGGTGGCCCCGGGTTTCGCCAGTTCGAATCCCGGGCGTGGACATTATTGAACAAGATGATCTGGGTTGGTGGGGTAAGGGGAGGGAGGTAGCAAGACCAGAGTTGGAGTGAGGTACTGGCTACTTCGGAAAGTCTGCTAAGAGATGCTGAGATGGAAAATAAGGACTGTGAGGATGGAGAAAGAGATTGAGTGGAGAAACGTTTAGGAGAGAGAATCCACAGACCTGGAGTTTTCCTTTGTTGGAGGTAGGTGGGTTGGGCTGGAGGCAAGGGAAAGAGAAGCGATAAGGAGAACTTCAAGGCACCTAAGCTCAGTAATTGATTGGATGGTGTGCCATGAACAGAAAGAGTGACTATCAGAGGAAAACAAAGATTGTGGTGACTCTGGGGTACCTTGATTTAAGGATCTCTGGACAGACAAGCAGGCATCTGGAAAATAAGAACGGGGCTTGGCAGAGTTTGAGGCAGACGTCTTAAGTAGTTGCTGAAGTAATGAAGATAAATTTCGTTAGGCAGATTCCAAGTTCAACAGGCACAGAAGGAAGACAGAATATGTGGAAAACACTTCCTGGAGGAGATGATGCTGTATCTAGGCCTTCAAGGATGGGAGGATCTGAAGCGGCAGCAGTGAGCGGAGGAGAATCCAAGGTTAGAGAGCAGATCAAGAAGCTGAGAGAGAACCGAGGGAGCTGGAGAGAACCGGTTATGAGGTTGGCAAGTGAGAGGAAGCTCCAAAGATGGTGAAAAGGAGAGAAGGGCTAAGCAGTAAGGAAAACTTTCACTTTTCCATTCACACATGCAAAACGATAGAGATGCCCTCACCTTTGCATTTATTGCAAGTTGGATGGCACCTCTGACAGGTCTGTGTGCTTTGCTCTGCGTAGTAGTGCTGCAGGCAGGGGCGATGACACTCTCCCTTGGAGCAGAGCAGAAAGAAGAATGGATCCCAAGACAAGCAGTCTGTGGGCCGCGGGCCCCAGCAGGCTTTGCAGCTCCTGTTGCACCTCTCACACCGTCCAGTGGCATTTCCTGCATAGTATCCGCAACCAAGGCGGAAGCGAAGACTGAATACCAAGCTTGACTCCTAAGTTGAGTGTGGTGGGAAAAACAGAGTCAGGCAGGGCTCATTTACAGGCCAGGTGACTTTAGACTTTTCACTCATTAGATTCATTGCTAATTATACTAATAAATCTAATGATTCTCAGTTTTCTTATTTGTAATTTGAGCATGACAACCCCTCCCCTGCTGTTTGTGAGGATTAAGTTAGATGACATACGTGAAAGGATCTAGTCCTGACCTCACGTAGTAGCACCACGATAATCGCTCACTACCTTTGCCTTCTGTACACCCAAGTGCTTCTCCACTGTTACATGAGCTTTAAGTTGTGTGGAGCCGGGTCAGGGTATAGAGGACATTTTAAATGCACCTCTGACTGGTTCTTCTAATTTCTCAATTTAAAAAAGTCAAAATAGGAGGTGATGTGAGTGATGTTGACGTTTACATAATAGATGTAACCTCTTTTGAAAAGATTTTTGGAGGCTAAATATAACAATAATCACTCTTCATTAAGTTTCTACTATATACCTGATAGTCCCCTAGGGACTTCATACATATTATTTCACCTTATTGAACCTAAAAATGAGACACTAGAGCATGGCGGTTAGGAGCTTTCCCTCTGGAACAAGACTGCATGGGGTCAAAGCCCAGCCACATCACTGATGAGCTGTGTGATCTTGGGCAAGTCACATAGCATCTCTGTGTCTCAAGTCTGTGACATGGGGCTAATGTTACTAGCTAAAATTAAACAAGTTATTACTGAGGAAGTTGTTAGAATGGTGCCTGGTACATTATAAATAACTAATGTATATTAGTGATTATTACAAATTGTATGATTAATCCTAATGACAAACTTTATGATTTAGATATTATTATCATTATCCTAGAATGCAAAAACTGAGGCTTAGAGAATTTAGACAACTTGCTTAAGGTCAAACAGCTAGTGAAGTGGGGTGATAGGATCTGAACTTCTCTCTTAAATACCACTATAACAAAGCAGTGCATTATCTGGAGGTAGACAAAAATGTTTCAAGTAAGACAGAAAAGAGAAAAGGAATCCCTGTCAAAGATGACCTCCCAGCGGTCATCTGACCCACCTCGGCATCTCTGGACATCGCACACTAAAGCCGTCCTAGAAACCCGAAGGCTCACCCTTGCACTCTCTGGTGCAAAACTATCGGCCCCATTACATTTTTAAAAATTTTTTATTTTAGCTCCACTAACCTGTTGAAAACTAAAACCAGGGCTATGTAATACTGAGCCTGCTCCACCTGGCCACCTGTCAGTGGTCTGAGTGAGGACACTCGTGCCCCACTGGCCCAGCTTGCAGCAAGTCAAGCCTCGTCTCGCCTTCGGCAGTCAGGTGAGGAACAACGTCTACTCCAGGTCAGTCAGGAAGACTCGGAGGTGTGTGCGAGACGGGCTGAAAGGAGAACAAAAGCGTCAACGTGAACTGATCGTTGATAAAGATCACGTAAGACTCAAAAGGGAAAGCAAGAGGGAAAAGTGAAAACCGCACTTTCCACAGAGGGAACACACCAGACGGAAGTCAGAAGATCTGCTTTTTAGTCTTGGCTCCACCGTGTATTAGTAGCCACACATGGCAGCTTTGGGCAAGTCGCTTAACCTCTCTGAGCCTCAGTTTCCTCATCTGTAAAATGGAGAGAACGATATCACTCTCACAGGATCATGGTAGAGTCAAATCCTAATGTAATGATACACTGAGAGGGGAAACACTCTGTAAACTCCAAAGCAGCATAAACACTCTTTACTGAGGTTGTTGTCACAGACTGTTATTAAGATGAAAGGCGTCAATAGGAACCATCGGGAAGGAAGCTGATCAATATCGAATAGGCTCTAAAAGTTCTCAAAGCTAATACGCAAAGAAAGACAGTGGCGAGTTTAGCGGATTGGATCACAAGAAGAGTCCAACGCCACTGCTTACTCTGACGACTCTTGTGCATGACACGACTGTGAAATCTCTGAGCCTCATGGCCTTGAAGAGGACCTTGTGCATAAGGACAAACGGTACCTGGGGCCTTAAAGAACCTGCTCTGAAGTTACCCCAAAATAATTATGAGCATTGGGACAGGGTGCAGAGGATCACATCCCTGCCTTTCCAAGGCAAAGAGACTTAACATAGGAAGCTCTTGCTATGCGTGTGGAACGCTGATTCTGCAAAAGGAACTAGTTCAGTTAAATATCTCCACTTATACCTCGTTTATACCCCATTTATTCTCCATCAGAGATTTATGGTAACCACGCCTCTCCTCCCAGTGGGTAACTTCACACCCCATGGAACAAGTGTCTTAATTCCACGTCTGCAATCTATTGAGATCACAGGATTGTGCCCTTTTGTGTGCATGAGAGTATGTAATGACTTGATCTGAGGAAGATGGAGATTCTTTCTATGGGATCCAGGTCTTTTCAGGCACTTACTGGGAGGAGGATGAATGGCTAAGCTGCATAGCCCCATCCCCTCTCCTGTCTGGCATGGTCCTTTCTTCACTGACCTGTATGCCTGGCGTTTTTGAGGGCTGCTAATGTGTGTGGCTCTGTGCTGAGCGTTGTAGCACACACACCCCCTACCCCCGCCAAGTTGTGACAATCAAAAGTCTCTCCAGACACTTTACAGGAGTAAAATGGTTTCTCCATGCCTGGCATATACAGAACAGGTGCTCAACGGCTGCTTAGAACTAACTGAATGCAGGAGAGGGTCTCTCATCCAAAAGATAGCCCTGCCCTGGACTACCTCTCTGATAGCCATTCAGATCCCACCTCCTCTACCCTATTTCAGGGCCCTGTGCAAAGGCCACCTCCTCCATGAAGACTTCCTCGATTGCCCCAGTTGTATACACTCTCCCACTCAACACTGACATATGTTAGTTTGTGTTCCTCTTTAACGCTTGTCATCTGGTGTCCTAAGTATTTATACATGTGTCTTATCTCCACTATTCACAAAGTACCAAAGTGGCTTTGGAAGAATTTTAACACCTTCTATCTTCTCTGCCCACTCTCTCCCCATAAAAATGATACTCTCCAGTAAGCATATTTGACAATTTCTAAAGCATATATAAAATACGAAATTTTCACTCCTTTTTTTTTTTTTGCAATATACAACCTAACTAAAATTTTCTTTTAAAATGTATTAACAACTTAATATTTATTGTGCACTTAATAGGGTCCAGGGCCTGTCGAAAAAAACTTTACATACATTAACTCATTTTATCCTTACAACAACCCTATGAAGTAGAAACTTTTATAAACCCCATTTTGCAGATGAGGCACAGAGAGGTTAATTAACTTGCCCACTGGTCACCCAGATAGGAAGTGGGCAGAGTTCGGATTTAAACCAGGCAGTCTGTCTCCTGTCTGCAGGCTCCTAACTGCTGTAACCTAGACTGGCGGCCAAGTAGCTTCAAGAACCTGCAGCCCCTCCGGTTCACAGCAAGACTGCAGCTCCCACTCCTGCCCGTGGAGAACTCCGCACCAGCGGGGCACTAGGCTGGTCGAGGACCTCGCTTACTCCTTCAATAGGGCGCGCAAGGGGTCAGCCCCGGGCTTTGCACGAAGCAGGCTCTCTAGTTTTGTTAAACGCAGAGACAGTGCAATGCTGGGAAGTTCTTCCTGAGCTCTAACCCGCGGCCGCTTCCCACAGCCGGCCGACGAGGGGACCCGAGCGCGGCGCCTGCGACCCCCGGCCACCAGGGGTCGCCGCGGCGTCCCCCGAGCGGGAGGGCGGAGCGGCGGCGGATCGCGAGCAGCATGTGGACGCTCAGGCGCCGCGCGGCCGCCGGCCTGCTGTCCCGCTCGGCGCTCCGGGGCCCGGCCCAGGCCCACGCCCGGGCCCAGCGGCCACCCGAGGACGCCCCGCTCCCCGGCCGCCGGGGCCTGCACGTCGGGACCGCCGCGGCCCGCAGGCCCGCCAGCGCCGTGAGTATCGGCGCCCGCGGCGCCAGGCCGCTCGCCCGGGACGCACCGCTGCAGCTCGGGCGGGCCGCGGCGCGGGGACGCGCTCTGCGGGGGCGGGGAGGGGGCACGCGCGCGCTGCTGCAGCTCCGGCGGGACCGCAGCACGGGGGCGCGCTCTGCGGGGGCGGGGAGGGGCCACGCGCGCGCTGGTGCTGCTCCGGCGGGACCGCGGCACGGGGACGCGCTCTGCGGGGGCTGGGGAGTACGAGTGGGCCGGCTGCAGCTCCAACAGGGACGCCTTCTGCGGGGGGCGGGGACGCGCTCTCTGGCTGCAGCTCTGGAGGGGCCGCGGCACGGGGACGCGCTTTGCGGGGCAGGGGAGGGCACGCGCGCTCCCGCTGCAGCTCTGGCGGGGCTGGGGGAGCGGGTGGACGTGTGGCGGGAGCGCGCTGCCCCCTGCCTAGCGCGCGGCCGTGCCATCCCCTCTGTTTCTCGGCTTCTGCCTTCTCCGGGAAAGAGAGGGATTGTATCCCGCAGCGCATCTGCGGGGAAGGGCACGGGCAAGGGCAGGGAGGGTGGCCAGGTCAGGTCTGAGGGGTCAGGGGTTGTCTCCCAGCTTGTCCTTTCTCTTAGCTAGAACTTACATTTAAGTAATGATATATACATATGTATGTAAGTGTATGTAATATTATATAACGTTATAATATGTAAAGATATATACATATAATAAAATAGTATGTATCAGTATAATAGTATTTTATGTAAGTATATATACATGATATTGAGCCATGTTTTCATGCATAGGCTTTTATGAACGAAAGGCCTTCTTGGAGCGAGGTGGAAATGTCAGGGCTGCCGAGTACAGTAGCTTGAGCAGCAGGGTTTTGGAAAATGACGGGGCCTGGGTGCCAAATTCTGGCTCCGCGACTCAGCAGAGCTGTGTGACCTCGGGGGAGCCCCAGAACCTCTCTGAGGCGTGGCTGCTTTTTCTGTAAAGAGGAGATAAAGGGTAACACCCATTTTGCGAAGCTGGCCTGAGAATTAAATGGGATCAACATATAAGGTCTTCAGCGCTTAAAGTTAATTCCACTTTCTTCCCTTGGAGATGCAAAGAAATGTCTGGCCCAGTTACTCTGTGACTTGAAAGGAGGAAACCCAGAGAATGGAGTTGAGGAAGACCACACAGGAGTATGGCGGTGACTTTTAATCAGGGTCTTGAACATGGAGAGTGCGAAGGGCATTCCAGGAGAGAAGGGCCTGGGCAAAGGCTGGGAAGGCAGATGGGGCTCCGTTCCGAGTGGCTGGTACCCTGGATGTGCTGTGGGTGATGAAGGAGACAGGTGAAATCCAACCCAAATTGTGGTCGGAGCTCCGGAATTTGGACCTGAGGCTTAAACTTCCCAGTGACACGTGTTATTTGGCCCACAACATGCATGAAGAAACTTTGGGATTGGTTGCCAGCGCGCAAAATTGGGACCTAGACAATGGATTTCCCCGCTTCTCAGGGAAAATAGGCAGGTCCAGCCATGCTGGTCCCATGATCCTCCCCTGCAGAACATTTAGTGCTCTGCTCCTGTGCTGCTCCCACCTGGGGCGACCCCCACTTGCACTTCAACCCCTGCCTGTGAGGGCAGCATGGGTTGTCAGCAGTTTTTAATTAGAGGACTGACGAGATATGGTGTGGCCTTTTGGATGGTACCTTGTGGCTATTAAGGGCTGTTGGCTCGGAAGCACACCCAGCTCAGGGCTGGCCCCCCAGGAAGTGTCCACTGGGCACACACTGGGATTAGGGGTCATGGGAGGTTGCGGGTGGTTAGCACCCTAGGTGACCCTAGTGAATTAATCACGTTCATTTTACCTGTCTACTGCACAGTTCCCTTGCACATATCTGGTACTTGTGGAGTTGAGTGGATGACAGTGGCAAGTGGGTCCCCCATCCTGTTTAATTTTTTAAGGCCTTAACTGCCCTCAGGTTGATCCCCAAGGTCCCTTGTACTCCAAAATTCATCAGGACCTGAGTTGATCTGGGAACCTCTTCCTCGTCCTTATTTCTCATCCTCCTCGTTCCGCTTCTCCAGCAGCGTCCCACAGAAATAGAGTGGGGTTTCTAAATTTTCTAGTAGCTAAAAGGAACAGTAAAAGGAAAAAGGAACAGGTGAAATCAATTTCAACAGTACATTTGTGTAACCTTCTACATCCAAAATATTTTCCTTTCATACTGAAAAACCATTAATGCGGTATTTTTACATTCTTTTTTCGTACTCTTTTTGCATTCTTTTTTTGTGCTCATGCTTCCGAATCCAGTGTGTATTTCATACTTCCGGCACACGTCAATTTAGATTTTAGACAATTCACAATTGAAAAGGTAAATTCACACACTCGAGTTGTTCCAAACATACTTAAAATTTTCCAGTGACTTTATTGAGTATCATTTTTAGATTAAAATTAAGGACAGGGCTGGCCCCGTGGCCGAGTGGTTAAGTTCGCGCGCTCCGCTGCAGGCAGCCCAGTGTTTCGTTGGTTCGACTCCTGGGCGCGGACATGGCACTGCCCATCAAACCACGCTGAGGCAGCGTCCCACATGCCACAACTAGAAGGACCCACAACTAGGAATATACAACTATGTACTGGGGGGCTTTAGGGAGAAAAAGGAAAAAAAAATTAAAATTAAAATTAAATAAAATTAAGGACAGTTTAAAATCCAGTTCCTTGATCACACACGTGGCTGGTGGCTACCACATGACTGCTCTGGAGTAGAGCATATTTAGCTTCTGATCATTGTTTCTTGGCTCTAGCTGCTCATCAGAACCCAGAATCCACAGAAACGGCTTATAAAAGCGCAGCTCCCGGGGCCGGCTCGGTGGCGCAGCAGTTAGGTGCACGCGTTCCTGTTTGGCAGCACGGGGTTCAGTGGTCTGGATCCCCGGATCCCAGGTGCAGACATGGCACCGCTTGGCAAGCCATGCTGTGGTAGGCGTCCCACATATAAAGTAGAGGAAGATGGGCACGGGTGTTAGCTCAGGGCCAGTCTTCCTCAGCAAAAAGAGGAAGATTGGCGACAAATGTTAGCTCAGGGCTAATCTCCCTCAAAAAAAGAAAGTGCAGCTCCTCGGCCCTCCACTTCCACCTTCCTCACTCAGAGGCTCGGGGAGGACCTGGTTCTATCAGGCAGCCTCTGACCCCCCGGAGAGCGTGACAGTGGCTGGGGCTCTAACCTTCCCCTTTAATGCTGGAGGGTGCTCCAAGGAGGAGCTAACTTGATGTCACGGCCTCTGATATAACTTCATAGACTTCTTCTGCAGACCTCAGAAGACTTTTAGACGTCCGTTCATTTCCCCAGAGGGACGAGACCTATAACTTTTTGTCCGTGAGCCCAGCAAGCAGGCTATGCCCTAATTCACTTTAAATTCATTTTTATTGTCTTCCACAGACCATATCCATGAGTTTATACACACAAAAGTGTATATGAAACATCTGTATCATTTAAAGATTAATAGCAAATGCTCATGTTCCCACCGCCAGGCTAGGCAATGAACATTGCTTGTTCCTCAGAAGGCCCGAGTGCTCTCCCATGACAGCCGGGTCCTCCCGGAGAGGAGTCTGCCGTGCTGAAGTCTGTCAGTCATCCCTGCTTTTCTTAGGGTTTCGCCTCCTGTATGTGTCTCCCTAAACCCTGGGCTGTTTATATCAAGAACGTTTTGCTGTGTTGATTCTGCTGTGACTGGCGCCTTGTGTTCCGGGTTGTTCTGAGACTCGTGGACACTGATGCACCCGGTTGTCATTTATTTGTTTTCTCTGCTGAATGGCGTCCCGTTGGGTGAGTGTGTCACACTCTATCCTGCCTCCTCCTGGTGACCTCCGGTTGATTCCAGTGTGCTGCTGTTACCTGGGGCTGCTGTGGGCGTTCCTGTGCGTGGAGAGAAGCTCCTTTCGGGCGAATTTCTCAGAATGGCACTGCTGGGTGAGGGGCCAGCAAATACTCAGCTCCTTTGATGCCGAGAGTGGTGGTACCAGTTCATGCTTCCCGGCAACGGATGACAACTGATCGACTCTTCAAGCGTTGTGGTCTGACAGGGCCCAGGGTGACGAGGGGACCTCCGGGGTGAAGGCTGGCCTCCCTGCTGGCCACCCAGGCCCGGCCTCGCCAGCGGGGGGCCTTACTTGGGTCCTGTGGTTCCAAGCCTGACCTGGGACCGTGGCCTGGGGACTAGGACCTGGTTTTTCTTCACATGCCTCCCGTGAGCCGGCCCTTTGCTGAGCTCTCGGATTGACTGAACCCTGGAGACTCAAGCGAGGCACACCTCCCAGGGATGGGTAGTCCGAGGGCTCCAGGTGACCTGGAAGCAGGAGGGTGGCTGCTGGGTGGCTGGGGGGGAGCACCTGTCACACAGCCCTCACCCCGAGAATTCCATCCGCCTCCCCGAGCACGGCGGGGCAGCTCCTTCCTTGGGTGGGAGCCGAGTTTTGCCTCTGACCTCCTGCCTCTCCGTACTTTTGTTGACATGCTTCAAAACAGACATTTGCTGAACCCCCTCCGGCCCTGTGTTTGGGGTGTTCACGTCCTCTTGTTTGATCCTCAGAACCTGTCTGCACGGCAGGTGCCATGATCCCTGCCTTTAGAGAAACGGAGGCTCCGGAAGGTCCAGCAGTGCCCCAGGGCATGTAGATCGGGGAGCAGAGGGGAGCAGAGTGGGAAGACAAGGCCGGGAGTCCTTGCGACAGTTCCTTTATGTTGCAAAAGCTGAATAAAGACTTCTTCTGGCAGGAAATGAGTAACTTGCATTAGATCAAGCCTCCCACCAAGAACAACCATCAAAGATACAAAATGAAAAAACAAAAACAAAAGAGAAAAACAGCCCCATGAATGTCTCAGAGAGACCAAAACAGCGAAGACTGGAGGGGTCAGGATCATGGAAAAAAGGGACACTCCCTGAGCTGAACCCCGCGTTCTCAAACACTCCACGTCTGGAGCCTCCATGTCTGGAACCCATAGGTTTCTTACCTTTGTGGCCAGTACCCCGGGACCAGACAGCTTGGGTTCAAATCCCAGCTCCACCACTTTGTGTATCCATGTGACTTTGGGCAAGTTACCCTTGTGTGCCTCAGTTTCCTCATCTGGAAAATACAGATACAGTCAGTCCTCATTATTCGTGGATCCTGTACTTGTGATTTCACCTACTCACTAAAATTTATTTGTAACCCTAAAATTGATACTCAGGGTGGTTTCGTGGTCATTCTTGGACATGCACAGAGCGGCAAAAACTCGGAGTCACCCCTGCTCTGCTGTTCCCAGCTGAGGTCGAACAAGGCGGGACTCTACCTTTCTGCTCCAGCTCTCAGATTCTCATTTGTAAACAAGGGTCCTTTTCACGGGCTATTTAGTGGCGTGCTATTTCACATTTCTTTGGTGTTTGTTGGTGACTTACTGTTTAAAGTGACCCCCAGCCGTGGAGCTGCAGTGCTGTGCAGCGTGCCGAAGCATGAGAAGGCCGCGATGTGTGTCACGGAGAAAATACATGGGTTAGAGACGCTGCCTTCAGGCGGGGTTTACAGTGCTACTGGCCTTGACTTCAGTGTTAGTGAGGCGACAGGACGTGTTAAACAAGGTGTCTTTAATCAGAAACACACGTAAAACAAGGTTATGCACTGATCAATGGGTGAAAATGTGACCAGAGGCTCACGGAACCTCACGCCCCATTTCCCTCAGGAGCAATTCGTTAATTGAGTGTTTGTGGCAACTTTATAGAACATAACTGTCACGAATAACGACTGTAATAATGGACTTCCCTCACAGGATTGCAATGAGGACTAAAGGAGTCCATTTCTAGAAAGACTGAGAACAATACGCAGCGGACAGTGAACATTCTAGAATGTGCTGTAGTGGTAAACTGCCTCGGCTCTCTCACTTCAGCTTCAGGGCCAAGCTGGCTGTCCAGGCTCTGCACCCCCATTTCGTCCTTCTCTGCTCGCCTCTCAGCCCTGTGCCTTCGGCCTTCTCCTTTCTGAGTTTGCCAGGGGCACTGGTGGCTCAAAAGTAACCAGAGGGACCTTTGGAGAATGTAAATCTTACCACCAACCTCCTAAAGCCCTTTGGTGCTTCCCAGGATGAAGTCCGCTGTGTGCCTTCACAAGGCCGGGTGGCTGCCCACCTCTCTCCATCACTTCCCTTGCCCCCTCCACTCAGGCTGGACCACTTTTCTCCTTTTACAGGCTCCATCCCCTCCCGCACTGGGGTAGGTCCCTCTGCAGGAGCCCCTCTCTCCTTCTCCCCCGGTTATTTCATCCTTCCCTCCAGCTGGCCAGTAGGGCTGGTGGTCACCAGCTCAGACCCCACCTCAGAGCCGGGCACCTGGACACTCAGCAGTTAGGTATTGAAAGAAGTCAACAGGTCACGTTATCTCCTGCAGATCAAGTTAATAAGATGTCAGACAGCTGCCCGCAGTCAGAGCTTCTCCCCTGGACACCAGCAGACCCCTGCCTCTTGCTATTTGTTGTTGCTTGTTTTGGTCAAATCCTAGGAGCGTTGCTCATGCCTCCCCGCCTAGCCTGTGCATCGCATAACCTGAATAGCCTACAACAGCTCTGCCCCTAGCACTTCCTGTGATGACAGCCTCATTCTGTGTCTGTGTCATTAGCCACATGAGGGCACAGGACACTCAAAACACACCTGGTACAACTGAGGAACGGACTTCTTAAATTTTATTTCAATAAATTTCAGTTTAAATAGCTGCACGTGGCTTGTGGCTACCACATTGAACAGCACAGGCTTAGAGAGAGACTGGGGGAACTCACTGTAGTGCATTAAAAGAAGGTGAATGGGGCTGGCCCGGTGGGGTAGTGGTTAGGTTTGTGTACTCCAATTCAGCAGGCCAGGGTTCATGGGTTTGGATCCCAGGTGCTGACCTACACATCACTCAACAAGCCATGTTGTGGTGGCATCCAACATACAAAATAGAGGAAGACAGACACAGATGTTAGCTCAGGGCCAATGGTCCTCAAGCAAAATGAGGAAGATTGGCAACAGATGTTAGCTCAGGGCCAATCTTCCTCACCAAAAACAAAGAAGGTGAAAAAAATTCCTAAGAAATACTCCTAGGGGCTGGCCCAGTAGCACAGCAGTTAAGTTCGCACGTTCCACTTCTTGGCGGTCCAGGGTTCACTGGTTCAGATCCCGGGTGCGGACATGGCACCACTTGGAAAAAAAAAAAGTCATGCTGTGGTAGGCGTCCCATGTATAAAGTAAAGGAAGATGGGCATGGATGTTAGCTCAGGTCCAGTCTTCCTCAAGAAAAACAAAGAAAAGAAATACTCCTAAAAATTTGAACTTAGTTACTTATGAATGTAGAAATGGCCATATTTAAACCATGCATTAATGGACTCTAAATATACTACAAAATGGTAATGTTTTTCTTAACTTTGGCTTTTAGAGTTCGAGCCTCCACTTCCTCAGCCAGATTCTGAATGTCAAAAAGCAGAGTGTCTGTGTGATGCATTTGAGGACAACGGGGACTTTGGGTGACCCGGGGTAAGATAAAACACCTTCTACATCAGAGATCTCTCCCTTCCTCTCTCTCTCTTTCTCTCCCTCTCTCACAATACACAACATACACACACATAAATATACTTCTCTCTATTTTCTTTTTTTTATTTTTTCCTTTTATCTTTTTTTTACCAAAAATAAAATCCATCCCATACAAAACCTGTTTTTTCCTTTAGCAGCAACACCCATAAGCATCTTTCCATATCACTAACTCTCCACCACGTTATTCTTAATGAAATAGTATTACATTTTATGGATGTACCATAATTTATTTAACCCATCCCCTCTTGTTGGACATTTAGGTTGTTTCCAGAGTTTTGTTATTATTTTCTTTGATATCTTGGTAGTTAGGGTAGGCCAAGTTTCTGTAACAAATAGACCCCAAACTGTAAGGGCTCAAACCAGGAGTGGTTTGTGTCCCCCTGCTCAGGACAGTCTGGGGGGGCCTGGCTCCTTCCACCTTCCTATCTCCTGTCAGTACCTTACTGTCCTCTGCATGGTCGAGGCCGGGTCACCCTGTCCAGGCTCCATTCCATAGAAGGGGACAAGAGCATGGAAGGCCTGGAAGTGGCACTTCTCCCTCACTGGCCTTTCAGTGGGAAGGACTTCGTCACAGGGCCCCAGCTGACTGCAGGGAGGCTGGGAAATGTCGCCTCCTGGGTGCCCTGGAAGGAGGAGGCGAGGGGTGCTGGTGGAGAGCTGCCAGCACTGCTGCCCTCTGCCCCTCTGCCACACACGCACCTTGACCCCCAGCCCAAGGCTGCGACCACAGGCCCACGTGGTCACTCATGCACCTAAAGGACCAAGATTTCCAGGTGACACGCAGTCGTCTGTCTCAGGTCTAGGAATGGCTTCTCTGACCTGCACACACATACGATGATGGACAGGGACGCCCGTGGCCCAGGGCAGCCATGGAGGCCTCCTGGGCAGCACTGGGACGAGCTCTGCCCTGGCAGAGGGCGACAGTCCTCCATGAAAGCCTGGCTGAGGCTCCTCCTTGTCCGCTATTCCCCTTGGCCACAGGAAGTGTGCCCTCCTTGGGGGCGGGCAGCCTTCGCAGCCCCCTCCCTGCTGATGCCAGTTCGGGCTTCCAAAGGCTATCTTAAGGCTCTGGTACGCTCTTGTAAGCCAGACTCGTTTTTCTTGGATAACAGGATTTTCTCAAAAACCTAGAAGGCTTCTGATCTCTCTACCCACAGTCAGTCCCAGTGCCGGTAACCACATCCCCATTTCTTGCCTGGATGGGAGCCTCAGACTGCCTTATCTTTTGCATCCTCGCCCCCATGCCCAAGCTCTCAGCCTAAGGGCAGGTTCTAGAAGTCTTATGAAAAGATAAGATTGGGGACCAGCAACGCCCTCAACCTGGTTTTTGCAGCAGGATTGGACCCTCTTTTTGGCTGAATGAGAGGCCTTTGTCCAAAGCCATAGCTTGTCCCGTTTGGTTTCTCCATCTCTGTACAGCCTTTCATCCCCCAACGCTCCATTTCCTTCCATTCCACTGCAGACGTGCCAGTTCTCTCCTGGCTCACCGTTCTCGTGTCCCATCTGCTGACAGCAGCGAGGAGCCACCCAGACGCAGGGACATTCTGAATGTCCCCAGAACTACCGGCTCGGTCAGCACGCTGTTGGCCGTCCAGTTTTTCACAGGCAGCAGGTTGACAGAGGGCCTTGCGAGCCCCCGGCCTGGGTGTCCGTGTCGTTGGCCCCCCACGCAGTCTCTGAGCCAGTGCTGCGTCTGCACGTGTTAGGTTTGGCTTTGGTGGCACCATGTCCAGCTCCTCTGCACGCAGACTCTGCTGCTGTCCCCTCGGCCCAGCAGGCAGTCCTCTGAGGTTGGGTGGGGCCCGTGCAGGATACCCCAAGTCCAACTCCCTTCTTTAGGGTCTACTTCTGGCCTCTGGGATGCACACCTTTGTCCCGCATGCATAGAAGGACAGCCCACTTCTGCCACGGCCCGGCTGGCTCCTGTCAGGGAGCACCAGCCGAGCTCAACTTTGGACTTTATACCTGAGTCAGGTGTGTCTTTATGTTCCCCACGCTCAAGACACATGTCAGCCTCTCCTCCAACATCCCCTCCGGCAGCTGTGACTGAGGAGAGAGAGGGAGAAATGGCCAGCACACCCAACCAGGCCCACCCCTCTCTTGAAAGAACAGCCTCTCACCCCACCACATTGTGCCCTGGAGGTAGGTGATGGGCGGTTGCGGGGTGGTCGCATGACAAATCCTGCATGAACTGTCCAGCAGCCCCTCATGTCTTACTTCAGGCCTCTGAGAAGCTCTCCAAGGACAGAGGTGTCTGGTATACATCTTGTAACCCACAGATACAGCCTCACAGCGGCACAAAACTTCAGACAAGGATGCTTACATAGCAAGATTTTTATTGTTATAATTCACCTACTGTAAAATTCAGCATTTAAAATGTACCATTCAGTGGTTTTCAGTGTATTCACAAGATTGTGCAACTTTCACCAGTGTCTCATTCCAGAACATTTTCGTCGCTCCAATAAGAAACCCCGTGCCCGCTCCACAGCCCTCCCTTCTCCGAACCCTTGGCAACCACTATCTACTTTCTGTCTCTATGGATTTTAGCAATTTTTAAAAATTGAAAAATAGTGTATATATACAGGAGTGTCTCCAAGTCATACATAGACAGCTTGATAAATTTTCAAAAAGTGAACCTACCATGTAACTCCAGAAATAGAATGCTACCAGCCCCCAAAAGCAAGCCTCCTGCTCATTCTAGTTATTAACCCCTCGCTGCCCCAGAGGAACCACCATCGTTCTGATTTCTAATAGCGTGGGGTCATTTTGCCTGTTTTTTCACTTTATATAAACTGTATCATGGAATATAAGTATGTTTGTGTGGCTTCTTTCAGTCCCCATTATGTTTGTGAGCATCTGGTTATATGGTTATATTTAAGGCAGCTCTATTTTGCTGTGTAGTGTTCCACTGTATGGATAAACCACAATTCATTTAGCTGTTGTGTTACCTGTGGGCACTTGGGCAGTTTCCAGTTTGGGGCTCTCCGGTACTTCTGCTATGAACATTCTAGGATGGTGCGTGTCTTTTGGTGAACCTGGGCCTGCGTTCCTGTTGGGAGCATACGCAATCGTGGAATTCAACTCTAATGGCATATAAATATATTCAACCACAGTAGCTACCACCCGACAGTTTTCCAGACTGATTGCCCCATCTCCTAGCCCATCAGCAAGATCTGGAAGCCCTGGTTGCCTCCCTTTGGGCAAACTCTTGATATTATCCGTCTTGTTCATTTTAACCATTCTGGTAGTATCTCATTGTGATTTTTTAATTTGTGTTTTCTTGAAGATTAAGAAAGTTGTGCACTTTGTCCTATGTTCATGGGTCATTTGGCTATCTTCCTTTTAATGAAATCTGTTGAAGTATTTTACCTAATTTTCTATTGGGTTTTCCTTTTCTTATTGATTTGTAGGAGCTCTTTATATATTCTGGAAATAAGTCCTTTTTCAGATATATGTAATGCAAATATTTTCTCCCACTTTGTGGCTTGCCCAACATAAATTTTCAGAACAGAAGCAATGGAAACAATCTCAGTGTCGAACCAGAGGAGATGGGTTGACTAAATAATGTAAAATAAAATACTGTGAAAATCCATATGTGCTAATATAGAACAATCTCCAAGACATATTAAATGAAAACTGTAAGGTGCTTCATTTGCATATTAAAAAGAACATAAAAATCTGGAAGGATACAGAAGGGGCTCTCCATCGACATTGACTCGGGGGATGGGAGCTGCCCGTTTGGAAAGAAAGGCTCACGTCTCTGTCAACCCTTGGATGCTGTTTAAATTTTACTCTGTACATGTTAGCTATTTTCCATTAATTTTTAACATTTCAATAAATGTGTTAATTTGATTGTTCATCAAGTGCAGCAGTTGGTCATGGGACGTGGTGGCTGTTTTTGTGTTTCCCCTGCAGTTCTCTGGATGAGACCACCTACGAAAGACTGGCAGAGGAGACGCTGGACTCCTTAGCAGAGTTTTTTGAAGACCTTGCAGATAAACCTTACACGTTTGAAGACTATGATGTCTCCTTTGGGGTACTTCTTTGCTTATTTTCCTTTTCTCTTTCCTCCATAAGAATTTTAGCTCACCAAAATAGAGAATTCCTCTCCTGTAGCGTTAAGCATCCAGCTGCATGTGGCTATGGATGGAACCAAAAGACTGAGGTTCATATCCCAACCCTGCTGTACCAGGCTTGTGACCTTGGGCAAGTCACTCAGCCTCTTTGGGCCCTTTTTTTTTTTTTTTTTTTTTTTGGTGAGGAAGATTGGCCCTGAGCAAACATCAATCTTCCTCTGGTTTTTTCTTTTTTTAAGGTGGGATGCCACCACGGCATGGCTTGACAACCAGTGCTAGATCCATACCCGGGATTCGAACCAGCGAACCCCTGGCTGCCAAAGCAGAGCGCACGAACTCAACCACTACACTACCAGGCTGGCCCCCATCTATGAGTCTCATGTTTGCTTAAAAATAAAGATTCCAAAGCTTCTCTCAATACCCATGATGGTAAATCAGGGAGGGACCCAGGCCTGAGTTGGTCTATCAGGAGGCCTCTCATTACGCAGGCCTGGGGAACCCTGAAGTAGACTGCTAGCATTTCAGCAGGGTAAGATATCACCCAGGAGGCGTTCAGGCTCCACAGACGTGGCCCCACTCCTGGGAGATTTGGATGTGAAGGTCAGAGTGCATTCCCAGGAAGCGTGTTTTTGAAAAGCTCACTCGGGATTCTAATGTGCACCCTAGGTCCCACCCCTAGAGATTTGATTTCATTGGTCTGAGGTGCGGCCCAGGCAGGGCACTGGGGTTTTAAAAGTTCACTCCCAGGGTGATTCGAATATGCAGCTGGGGCCAGAACCTCTGGGCAGGATGAAACTGGAGCCCCACCCAGATCCTGGAAGCTGAGGGAGTGCTGTTCTTTATTGAATGGCCACCAGGTGGCAGTCGTGAGCAAGAGTCACCTTTGGATTTAGAATTCTGTATTGCCTGGGCCTTGGGGAGCAGCCCGTTTTTGCCAGGGGGAGAAAATCCCCCACAGAGGTTAATCCTCCCGACAGCAATTAATTAATACCATGAAATGTGCATTTCGGATTAAATCATGGCATCATTGAGGGCAACCAGCTGTCAGGCTAACGTGATAGAAATAGTGTTGGATGTTGCCATGGGAGCGCTAGATGGAGAAGGGGCTGCATCAGATGGAGCACGAGCAAAGTCTTGCAGGAGGTGTCAAGCCCGGTTATAAGGACAGTGAGGGACTTGGTGGTAAAAACAAAGGCAATAGGGCAAGAAAGGGTTGACTGCCTTCTGGGTGGATTCAGAGATTTCTGTCCACAGCAGAAATGCGCAGGCAGGGCTGTAGAAGGTCTCATGCAGATGGCCCTGGAGGCAGAGCCACTTGGGAACGTTACACACTGGGCTTGCCAACTTGTCCATTACTGGGATGATTAGAGCTGAGGAAGTCACAGCTCTCTGCCACAGTGGCTGTAACTGCTGTAGGGAGAGTACACCTCAAGCTAAACTCTGCCACATATGAAACATTTATAACCAGGCCACAGAAACAGTCTCACCTCTCATTCTTGTAGGATTAGTGAAGCCCCGGCTTGACTCATGTACTTTGCATGAATGTTTCATTAGAAGCCAGTGTGCCAGGATTCTGGCAGCTGGATTCTGTCTACCTCATTGAATCAGGCAGCAAAAGCTTCGGCTCAGTGGTGGGTCACAGGACCTTGCCCACATCCGACCCCAGAGTGTCTCTCTGAAGAGTGACTCAGCTGCTGGGCTGTCCAGATTCTGTAACCCATTCCTGCAAGGGAAGAGGCACCTGTGTTTTTCTAGCCAATCCATATACCTTGAGTATCATTCTACTCACCAGGAAAAAATTATTTCTAAGAAATCATTTGCTGATTAGGAAATTCTCTAGTACAGATGTAGAAATTAAAAGCATACAGTTGCTGCCTCTGTAGTTTGGATTTCTGATTAAGTAACTTGAAAAGCTATCTATCTGCCCTGGGGTGTGAATTCCTGATTAGAGTCCTTCAGGTGCTAACTAACATATATTTCACATATAAGATAAATCAATTGAAAGTACATTATAGACAGTAGAACACCTGTAACACTATTACTTGAGCTTTGTTGGAGTGCAATCTCTCCCCGCCCTCAGGGTCCAGTTGGATGTCACCCCCTCTGTGAAGCCCTCCTAGATGCTACAGGCAGACGCCACCCTTCCTTCCTTGCCCAGCGCCCTGGAGCACTTACCACTGTTGTACCTGTCTACATGCACATCACTCCCATGGCTAGACTGAGCTCCTTGGCAGCCGGGACACGGTCCCTTCTTGGTATCCCAATGCCTGGAACATTGCCAAGTACATAGAAGGGACTTAGATGTGGATTCACTATGTAAATGAATAGGGCCTGCATACTTTCCCAAAACATGCCTTCACTGATGCCCCTCAGCATCACAGATGTTTACCAGCTTGCTACTGGCCAAATAGACAGATGAAAGCAGTAATCCAGATATGCCCAAGAAGGATTTGTTCTATTTCCTCCCTGTGCAGTGGGAGAGAGGAGCAGCTTCTTGGCTGGTGTGTCCTCCAGTCAATCGGGGTGGGTAGTGTTGGATGTCAGTGTCTGGGTCCAAGCCTCACCCCTCACTGGCACTGGCCATTAGAGGGAAGTGTCCACGAGGACAGAAAGCACCTCCCGTCACTAGGCAACCACAGAGTCTGCTGCACTGAACACAGCAAAATCTGACGGGAGACTGAGAAGCGCCTGCTATCTGAAGGGTCACCTCCAGGCCACATCCCTTTTTTCCCAGGTGGAGCCCTGGCCTCTTAGACGTTTTAATGAGAATTTCGTTGCTGCCATGTTCTTTATTCACTAAGTTGTTGGCATATTACTGCCATAGAGCAGAGGTTTCTTAACCTTTTTTGGGCCAGGACCCCCTGTGAGAATCTGACTGCTCTGGATCCTCTCCGGAGAAAAACTTCCCCACACACCTGTGAGTGCAGCTTCAGCGTCAGGGCGGGGCCTCTTTGTAGACCCCTGAGGACCCCCTCTGGGGCCCAGGGGATGCACACTTGCTCAGAGGCAGCGTTTCACTGGATATGGAGACAAAGGATCTGGCTTAGCATCCTGGATTTGTGTTTTCTTTCCAAGAGTCCTTAAATGAATTGTCCAACTTCTGTGAGCAGCAGGGTCTTCAGCAGTGAAGTGGATGACATTCCGCTACTTCTATGAGTTTATATTAGGATTAAATTTTTTAAAGTGCTTCACATTCATTATTCCTTAAGGGGAAGTCGGTGTCTATTTTTGGAGCGTGAGGAGCCACATAAACGTGAAACCCCGGGACTCAACGTGCCCTCCCATATGGGTCTATTTCTACAAATGAGCTGGTGACAACAGACACTGCTCTCTCCGCTGCCATTTGTGCAGGGCTGATATTGACTGGCGAGGGTTAATAAGCCTCACCAGCTGTGGCAGGGTCTGTTCTGACTGGTGAGTGACCCGTCTCAGCAGCTGCTGGATATTTTGACTCTCTCCCCGCCCTGCCCCTCCCCTCTCCTGCACTTGAGTCTGCCCACGCGCCCAGAACAGTCTCGGCTTGCCCCTTAAGGAACAATACTGATGAACCCAAAGCCGTCTTTGTCTGGTCATACCTGCATTAGGAGATGCTGGTGAACAAGGAAGGCAGCTAATTTCCTTTCTCTTGCCGCTCTCCTGCGGAAACAGCTTCTGGCTCCATTGGGGGAAAAGTCTCATTACGCACGATGAACAGGAGGGGGCGTGGTTGAGTGCTGAGTCTGTCCAGCGTAACCTTTCCCTTAACTTTGGCGCATGTTATCACAGTGCCTACTCATTGTCCGCTTTGTTCATTCTGCCACAAACGTATTTTGTTGCACAAAGAATGGATGTGCTAGGCACTGAAGATGCTAGGGTGAGAAGACGAATCAGCTCTCAAGGCGCTTAAGGTAGTGGAGGGAAGGGGCCGGTGACCAGCGCACAGCCGGCAGCTCAGATGCAGTGAGGAAGGCACAGAGAGGCTGTGGGGACACGCACAGGCCCTGGTCCCAGCCGAGGGGCATCAGGGTAACCTTCCCAGAGGCACCCCAGCCGAGACCTGCCGTGGAAGGAGAGTGCGGGGAGGGCGTGGACCTCAGGGAAGGTGCCTGGTGGGGCAAACATGAGACCTGCGCGCGTCTAGGAGGATTCGCATGGTGGTTTTATTAACAGGCTCTTTGTGAACCAGTGGCCTTTTTCCTGAGTCTCTCAGAGGATTTGGGGGGGTTGGAAAGAGTTATTTTGGCTTTCAGGGATTGTATCCGGCGCCCCCGCTTTAGTGTCCTGTTCTAAAGCGTGATGGTGATCAGGCGCCCGTGGGGAACCGGTGAACACCCATCGGCCCCTCCATCCTTACTGACGAAGGCTGGAAGAGTGTTGTCCCAAGGGAACAGTTGAGCCTGAGACCCCGCCCGCCTGCTGCCTCTGCACAATGGGGCAGGTAAGGGCACGAATAGGTCAAGTCAGAAACAATTACGGCTTGATCTCCTGAGCCTGCTATCTCAGGGAACAATAAGCCCTGCAAGCCTGTATGCGGGCAGGAAGGAATGGGGCGTGACTGCTGTTGGGTGTGGGGTTTCTTTTCAAAAGGATGAAAACAGTGTAGATTAGATAGTGACAATGTTTGCACACTTTGAGAAATACTAAAAACTACTAAACTGTACAGTTTGAAGAAATTTTTATGTAAATGAAATGTAGTCCTACCAAAAGAGTAAAGGTGGGTTTCAGGAAGAAAAATTGTTTAAAAACAAACTTACGTGCACTGTGATCCCGGCCCTTGTAAGAAATGCACTTAAAAGCTGGCAGGCCATACCTGAGCGTAGGGAGCTCGCATCGCTGGTTAATGGGGTTGAGAGATGCTTCGGGTTATGGAAAGAACGGCGTGTTTTAGACCCAAACAGACCTGGGTCTAAGATCAGCTCTGCCGATTACTAAGTGTTCTTATTACTCTGTCCCTCTCTTGTCCTCATCTGTAAAATTGGGGTAATGATTCCCACTTACAATGGTTATGGTCACAGTGGAAACAATTTTACGCAAAATGCCAGACACAGTGCCTGGCACAGAGTAGGCACTGAATAATAGTAGTTAATGTTTTTATTTATAAAATAATCATTCATTTTATTTATACTATTTATTCTTTTATACTATCTGTATTCCCAACGTCTCTCTAATTTCTGTTTCTTTTTTAATGAGAAAAAAGTGTTATTAAAAAAATAACCCAATAGAGTCCTCCCCATCCCAGGCCTATATTATTATTGGTACTTTCTCCACCTTTTCAATAGCTCTTTGTGTTTGCAAACCAGACACAAGTGTTCTAAGAACCCCGCAGGACCCCCCACTAGACAGGGCTCTAGAAGGCATGGGGAAAGGCCGGTGCCTCTGCGGGTTGTACACGGGATGGGGAACAGTGAGAGGCCCCCCTGCTCACCAGCTCCAATAAAGGGGACTGAGCTGTGTGGCTGTTTCTTTCGAATCCTGCGCATTCTAAAGAGACCTCAGACCTGGGGAGTAAAGGGCTGCTTTGTTGAAAGGATGTTTTCAAATTTAAATGAGCATTTATTGGACAAGGATGGACCAATGGTCTTTTGAAGAATTCAAGACTCTTATAGAAAATAAATAGGAAAATAAAGCTGGAGAGGAGTGTCTGGGAAGCTTGTGAGCTGCGAGGGAAGGGTCTGGAAATCCGAGCCCCGGTCGGGAGTATCGGCCACTTCTCACAGAGCTGAGGCTGTTGCTCTTCTAAGACAAGCCAAGCAGGCGGTTTCTTACTTTCTTCTTCCTTGCTTTTTCCTTTTTTCGGGAATGAGCTTGTCCTGTCCGATGTTTGGGCTGACGAGGTTCTCCAGTGGAGTTGGTGTCTGCATTGGCGAACGTCCTCTAGGGTGTTCTGGCTGAGAGTTGAGGAACCGAGGCGGCAGTCAGGCTGTCGATGCGCCCATCTGCCAGCTGTAATGCCTCAGACGGGCCGCTCAACACCCCAGCTTCCGTTTACTCCCCTCGAAAGGGATACTGGTAATTCTGGCCTTGCCGACCTCAGAGAGAGAGGGAAGAAGGCACTGTGAGATACAAGTACTGTTGTGATGAATCTTAGTCTGACTCTGCGAGCAGTGTTCCTTCTGCATGAGCTCCTAATTCTAAACACTAAATTAAAGCCGTTTCTTTATGGCGTGTATCGTGTACTTGTTTAAATGGAGAGTGTTGAGATATAACAAAAAATGAAGCAATTATGACAAAGTGATAACTTTGCCTTGTTTTATTTTCCTCTTTCCTATTTATTTTCCTTTTTCTACCCGACCCACTAGAGTGGTGTTTTAACAATTAAAATGGGTGGAGATCTGGGAACCTACGTGATCAACAAGCAGACCCCAAACAAGCAAATCTGGTTATCTTCACCATCCAGGTACGTTCAGAAGTCAAAATCTCTCATCGTTCAGCTTGTTTGAAACATGACCTTGCGGACCATTTAAGAAGGGTCACCCTCCTGGGTTAGCATCTGTGTAAGCGGACCTTGCCTGATGTCTGACAGCGTGCCTCGTCCTCAGTAGGGAGGTTCGCTCTGGTTATATAACTTCTGTCTGGTGATGTGGCTACTGTAAGCAGATATTGGATACTAACCTGATCTGAAGTGAAAACTTTTCAGAACCCGGCCTAGACAGTTTTTCTCTATTAAATCACTGCCCTGCCTTTAAAAAAGCCACTTCTGGTATTGCAACATCTGAATAAGTTGCCCTTTGTCTTCAAAGCAAGTTAAAGTTTGACCTCTAATTTGTTTGGAGCATCTGAGCTAAAGGTCAGTTGAATTCCATTTGCCCCATTGGCTGTGTGCTCTGTGGAGGCGAAGAGCCAGTGGTTCAGCCCTCCAGGGCATTTAATCCCTCCTGCCTTTTCCATTGATGTGCTTTCCATCAGTGGAATAAAAGGTCGAGTTGGAGACCGCCAGCGCTGCATCTCGAGGCCTGAGAACGTGCCAGGAGAGAGGGTCCCTCATCTCTCTGGCTGCTGGTGAAGTGGTTCTAAGAAACTAAAAGAGAGACGCCCACAAAAAGCTCTCAGACCAACCTGCCCGGTCACTCATTAGCGCTTGCAAAGAGAGCATATTGACTGTGACTTGTGAAAGGCACAGAGAGAACCAGCGTGGAATTCTTTGAAAGCCCAGTGGTATTTGCATTAAAGAAAAACAGTAATTATAACTCTTTCCCTGCCCCAATGTTGACATCATTTTTAGGCAGTTTATGTATAATTATTTGTTCACAATAAATAAAGCATTATGCTCCCTTCACCCCAACCTCATCTAGGACGTACGTTACAATTCAACACAAACAATTCCAGAAATCACTGTCATTTCTAGTCAGGCCCTCATTCACGTATTGTACTGTGTCGCTTTTTAGATCCAGTTAATTTACTTGAAGTTGGGACGTTTTCCCTTCTGTCGCGCAGTTAGCCTATTCTCCTTGCCCTCAAACAGTCGTCCTAACCCTAACCCTGGCCGTGCACGAGGACCGTACATTCCTATCCTCCATCTCCAGAGGAACCAGTACGAGACATTGAGTGGGCCAGCACAAATCCAGCCATCAGCTTTGGGGATCGGTAGTTTTGTCCATACCGGGCAGGACCCCAGAACCAACTGGGATGGCTCCACTAGAAGAATTCTTTTTTTTTTTAAGGTTTTATTTTTCCTTTTTCTCCCCAAAGCCCCCCCCGTACATAGTTGTGTATTTTTAGTTGTGGGTCCATCTAGTTGTGGCATGTGGGACACCACCTCACCGTGGCCTGATGAGCAGTGCCATGTCCGGGCCCAGGATCCAAACCAGCGAAACACTGGGCCACTGAAGCGGAGCACACAAACGTACTTGGCCACAGGGTCGGCCCCAACACTACAAGAATTCTTTGTTGTGTCTGGAGACTGAAAAAGTCCCTGTCGTATTTGGACACACCTACCAGCAACGTGATCCTCCCCCAGGCATGTTTAGAAGCACATACTTCTGGATAATAATAAATCCCTGGAAATTTCAAGGTTTCCTTTTTTTATATGGTAATTCATGATGAGAATCTGGAAGGAAAATCTGCCGAGCAGCCATTTACTGTCATGGAGACTATGTTCCTCAAAAAAAAAATTTACTTTCCACTCAATTTTTCACATTGGCCCAAAATAATCTTTCCTGGGGCTACATTTCTGATCCTTGGGCGTTTTTTAGTGACAGCTTTTCAGGCCCTGTGGAAACAGGGGCCTTTCCTGGCCACCTTGCCCACCCCAAGGAGGTTGTAGGATAGAATTAAGGAGAGGTCTGGGTGGACACCTGGACCCCAGTGCCAGTGCTCAGAGCCCCTGGGACCGTGTGGAGGGGCCTGGAGGTTTCCCAGCCTCTGTCCGGCACCCGGGCAGCAAATCAGAGTACGAGGCTAAAGGAATGTTCTCCAGACGCGGTCCACATATTAGGCCTTTATCTGTTTGGCTGTTTGTGTGTATTGAACAAAGGCCCCAGTCCTTTTGGTTTGTCCCTTTTATCTCCATTATTGGGAAAGTATTCAAACCCCAACATGTGGTTGATGGTACAGAAATGTTTGATGTTTTTATAGCCCCAAGAGATGCTTCCCTTCTAAGCTTTCCTCCTCCCTGGCAAACTCCTCTTAGTCTTGGATTTTGGAAAAGCTCTCCTGAGTGCCCAGGTAGACTCAGGTGCCTCTTCTCACGGGGTCCCAGGTTACTCCGCTCCTACCTCCATCGAGGGGTCCTCACGTGCTATCGTCATCTGCTGGCATGTCTGCTCCCCTCCACTAGGCTGAGAGGAGGTGGCATTAGCAAGCACAAGTTGTGTACGTCTGGAATAACAAGTCGTGGCAAAACCCACTACACCTGGATCCACACCAATCCAGCATCCCCAGCATGAATTGCGTGTACTGTTGCTGTTCACTAGATGAGCTTGAGATGGATGAACTAACCCATCAAATTCAGTTTCATGGATTTAAAATTGAATTAAGAAAAATATTTTTTAAAATAATAGTATAGGTGGTTGCCAAGGGCCAGGGAAGGGAGGGTATGGGGAGTAACTGCTTAATGGGTATGGAGTTTCCTTTTGGGGTGAAAATGTTTTGGAACTAGATAGGGGCAGTGGTTGCACAGTGTTGTAAACGTACTAAAATGATAAATAATAATAATAGAGGTAGGGCACAAATCATGTCAGTGGCACACAAATGGCCATAATTTTAAAAACACTGCTCTGACGTAGCAGGTATCACAGTATACGAGTTAGGAAAAGCAAAAGATCAGAACGTGGTACATAGTGACTCATCAGTAGGGTTCACATGTTTTCAGGTCTTGAGAATCATTCTGTGAATTGTGCCAGAGGATAAATCGTGTAATTATTCTTACATAGAAAGACCCTAAGACAAGAAACCAAATATATGCCTTGTTGGGTATTACTTTCTAGAGCTTCACTTCATTCAGTTTCTTGGTGGCGGCGTTGGTGGAATTGTGATTCTTATAAAGGGCTGTCCTTGTGGACTGACTGTGTGTTTGTCATGTCTTCCAGTGGACCCAAGCGTTACGACTGGACGGGGAAAAACTGGGTGTACTCCCACGACGGCGTGTCTCTCCACGAACTACTGGCCGCGGAGCTGACTAAGGCCTTAAAAACCAAGTTGGACTTGTCTTCCCTGGCCTATTCTGGAAAAGGCACCTGACGCCCAGCCCAAAAGACATTAAAAGCTATAAAGCCAAGACTCCAGCTTCGTTCTGCAGCTGAGTGTCTGGTGTTTTCCATTCCTGCTTTCGAGGACAGTTGCATTGTGTGTAACAGCTCTGTGAAAAGAACGCGTTGCCTCCCACTCTACCCCCAAATTCGGATTTTTAATTTCTATAGTTTTTTTGGATTTATTGTCTGATTTCCTCCCTCACTGACATCCCTTCTCTTTTATGACGTCTGTATGCCTATACCCTTATAAATAACCTTACAACAAAGAAAATAAGGAAAAATTCTAGGAGGCGAAATGAATTGGTTTCACTATTCATTCTTTGAAGGACTTATTACAAATCTCCGTGAAGAGTGGATGGCCGACCTCACCATTCTGTCTCAAATGAGACTCGTTACAGGGTAGCCTATAAGTGCTCCCACGCCTCTTGAAAATGTGAACACTTCTAAGCCCTTCAGTATTGAAGTGTGGATGGCGACTCAGGAATTCTCAAATCGAAGACTCTTTCTGTGCTTTGTGTCTGCAGGGTGTGGCCTGCACCGGGTGACTCAGGGACGTGTGGTGCCACTTCTTCAGTATATGCACATATATGCACACACACGCACATTTACATGTATGTGTGCTTGTGTGTGTGTGTGTGTATATATATATATTTTTTAAGGGTTGATATAGAATTGGCTGCTGCAACACTGGTCTGAGAATGCAGACAGTCTCACAAAGACAAGAGGGGAGTAAAGCCATCTCCATAAGCTCGTGGGTGTAGTAGAATACGCGGGGTGTTGGAGCTGAGGAGGTGCTTTGTAAATTGGGAAGGGCCACATGAATGCAGAGGTGTTCATGTTGATGATAAGAACCCTGGTCCTATGCTGTGCTCAGCACAAAGTAGTTGTCAGTCTCTGGGCAAGTTTCATGCACTCCCCCGACCTGTTTTCCCGTGTGTGAAATGAGAGGGTTGGCTGGATAGAATGTCCTTGGTTCCCAGTTCAGACATGCGGGGCTTCCATCAGGCAGCGTGACAGGCTGGCTTTAATTCCCTCCGGTAGATGGGGGACAACAATGAACACTTTTTTAAGCTATAGAGGAAATATATGGTTATTGGTATTGCTCTACTTGAATTTCAGTTGAATTCACATTCAAATAACATCCTTTCTTGTGCCCTTACCGTGCTAAGCCTGTGCCGTAGACTGCACATTATGTTACTCATTACTTATGTTCCCCCCAAATTCCTGTGTTGAATCCTAACCCCCAAAGTCATGGTGTTAGGGGGTGTGGCCTTTGCGAGGTGATTAGGTCCTGAGGGCAGAGCCCTCATCGATGGGATTAGTGTTCTTATAAAAGAGGCCCCAGAGAGCTCCCTTGCCCCTTCCTCCACGCGAGGACACAAGGAGCCTGCCGTCTATGAACCAAGAAGCTGCCTTTACCAGACACTGAATCTGGGGGCCTTGATCTCGGACATCCCAGCCTCCAGAACTGCGAGAAATAAATTTCTGCTTTTAAGCCACCCAGCCTGTGGTGTTGTTACAGCAGCCTGAAGGAACCAAGACAGCCCGCTACACAGATGACCTCATTTTAATCTCTCGTGACCTGCCTTTTACACATGAAGAAAGCAGGGCTCAGGAACATTCAAACTCATCCACAGTTCTCCTCTGTCCAAACTTATCCTTCTGTTCTATTACTTTCTCACTAAAGAAAGATTTCTTTGGAGGGGGATTTTGGGGTTTTTTTTTTTTGGAGACGATTAGCCCTGAGCCAGCTACTGCCAATCCTCCTCTTTTTGCTGAAGAAGACTGGCCCTGAGCTAACATCCATGCCCATTTTCCTCCACTTTATATGTGGGACGCCTACCACAGCATGGCTTGCCAAGCGGGGCCATGTCCGCACCCGGAATCCAAACTGGCGAACCCCAGGCCACCGAAGCAGAATGTGCGCACTTAACTGCTGCGCCACCGGGCCAACCCCTAAAGGAAAGATTTATTAGTGATAAGTCTATGAAAATATATAGCAAAGACTTTTGCAGAGGGTGAACCAAAACCACATTCCATTATAGAAAAAGACTCAACAATGGGACAGTATAAACAAATGCTACATGGATATTTAAAACATTTCCTTTCTTCAGAAATAAAATTACTTTTTAGTCTGGTGGAAATTTATTAAGTGTAGTAGGGCAGCAATACCAATGAGAAATAAAGTAGGGTAGGGGTGTGTGTGTGTGTATGTATCTCTTGCTTCTAATGAAAGTTTCATTATACGTCACTCAGCGGGAACTCAGTTAAATGGTGCACTCACCTAGCTGGGACACAACATAAAACTTAAGAGGTATTTAATCAGGCTGCAGGAGCATAAAATGGAAGTTAGAGAGTCTGTGCTCTTACAGCTTTCCTTGTGGGCCAGCCTGTCAGGCCTGTTTACTTTTACTTTACATACAGTTCTAACTGATTTAATTATTTAGTTTCTAAGGCCCTGGGAAATTCTCACTTAAGGCAGCAAAAGGACTGCTGGGGCCGGCCCCATGGCCAAGTGTTAAGTTCGAGCGCTCCACTTTGGTGGCCCAGGGTTGGGCCACCAGTTGGGATCCAGGGTGCAGACATGGCACTGCTCATCAAGCCACGCTGAGGCAGCATCCCACATGCCACAGCTAGAAGGACCCACAGCTAAGAATACACAACTGTGTACCAGGGGGCTTTGGAGAAAAAGGAAAAATAAAATCTTTAAAAAAAAAAAAGAGACTGCAGGCACAAGACCAGCAGCGGGGGGAGTGCACTCTGACACCGCTCTGACACGCAAACAGGAAAAGCTCCACAATGTGGGGCCCGTAGCCCCCCACACCTCAGACCTCAGGACCATGATCACATTGATGGCATCAGCCATGTGAAGGATGCGTTTTCAGAAAGACATTGTAAACAGTCAGTGTAGCATGTTAAAGGAGCCAAGAAAACATGTAAGAGAATTTTAGAAAGCTTTCTACTTAGCTTCCTGAGTGCATAGACCCACAGCCAGAGAAAATAAAACTACGCAGAAGGACTTATTTACCGCTCTCTGAAGATAGAGAGCAGCACTGGGGTGTGTCAAAGAGAATCTGAGTTTTTTAATCAGAATTTTTAAAATTTAATCCAAACTCTGCCACTTACTCACTTGTTGACGCTAACCTCAGTTTTCTTACCTGTAAAATGGAGACATCAGACCTGTGGCACCTGGGCCCACGTGCAAAGCCCTCAATACATGATAAATATTGTGATCACGTGTGCAGCATCATTTCATATTCAAATTCGAGGTTTTCCCCCAAAATATTATTTGTGACATTCTCTACTCAAACTCGAACTTAATCAAAGTGCTCATTTTGGTTACCTTGGTGAAGGATTGTGTTTCCCTAGAAATTTTTTCTTGCCCCTAAAATGCTTATATTTTACTCCATCTTCTGCATAGCTTCTAAAAATAATTTGGCCAACTTTAAGTTTGATAGTTTGTATTAAATAATAGGTTTACAATGTATTTCTCGAGCCACACTTGCCCCCAAGTTCTAATTAACCCCTTTGCCACCTGATGAAGACGCTTGTTCATAAATGTGACGTTTGTGTGGCCTGGCTATGCAAGGTTGCCAAGGAGAGCTGGTTTCACGCCTCCCAGCTACACACTAAGATTAAAGTAATTTTAGGTTTTGTCCTGTTGAAATCTTGGCGTGGATTTATCTTTGGCAAATGAAAACAGCTACATACCAGAAAGGGGAAGGAGGGGCACAGGTATGAAATTTCATATGAATTTACCCTGCTGTTCAAAACTAGGACTTCATGACTGTCTGTCGGGGTTTAGTTACTGTTAGGATAAGAAATGCCTTCAAATCTTTGGTTTGACTTAATTAACCGTCACAGCCTAAGGATCCCAATTAATAGCCCCATTGGAATTTATAAAACTGAGCTCACTTATATCCTGATATCTACTATAGAAACAGTCTTGAGCTCACACAGTCCATCTTCTCTGGATGTATGATTTAAGAGATAGGATGTTTCATGGACCAACCTCAGTAGCCTAGTGGTTAAGTTGGGTGCACTCTGCTTCAGCGGCCTGGGTTCAGTTCACAGGTGTGGATCTACACCACTCATCTGTCAGTGGCCATGCTCTGGTGGAAGCTCACACACAAAAAGAGGAAGACTGGCAGCGGATGTTAGCTCAGGGTGAATCTTCCTCAGCAAAAAAAAAAAAAAGGATATGGACTGTTTCAACACTCAACAAACTGGGTATAGAGGGAACATACCTCAACATAATAAAGGCCATATATGACAAGCCCCCAGCTAACATCATTCTCAATGTGAAACGCTGAGAGCTTTTCCTCTAAGACTGGGAATAAGACAAGGCTGCTCACTCTCCACCTTTACTCAGCATAATATTAGAAATCCCAGTCAGGACAATCAGGCAAGAAAAAGAAAGAAAAGGCATCCAGATCAAAAAGGAAGAAGTAAAATTGTCTCTGTTTGCAGATTACATGGTATTATATATAGAAAACCCTACAGACTCCACCAGAAAACTATTCGAACTAATGAGAGATTTCAGTAAAATTGCAGGATACAAAATCCATATACAAAAATCAATTGAGTTTCTATACATCAACAGGGAACTATCAGAAAGACAAATTAAGAAAACAATCCCATTTACAATAGCATCAAAAACAGTAAAATGCTTCGGAATAAATTTAACCAAGGAGGTGAAAGATCTGTACACTGAAAACTATAAGACACTGATGAAAGAAAGTGAAGAAGATACAAACATGGTGGTCCCCCCTTAACCTCAGGGGACATACGTTCCAAGACCCCCAGTGGAGGCCTGAAACCATGGATAGTACCAAGCGTTATATATACTATGTTTTTTCCTCTACATACATTCCTATGATAAAGTGTGATTTATAGATTAGGCACTGTAAGAGATTAACAACAATTACTAATAATCAAATAGCACAATTCTAACAATATACTGTCATAAAAGTTACTGTAGATCTTAGCAACCTCAGCTCATGAATATTTTTCTTTCCTTATTGAGTTGAGAACTTTCTCCTTTTCACTTAAAGGAAGCCCTTTATGGCTTCTCTTTGGCATATCCGAAGTGCCAGCATCACTACTCTTGCACTTTGGGGCTGTTATTACGTAAAATAAGGGTGACTTGAACACAAGCACTGCAATACTGTGACAGTCCATCTGATAACCAAGACGGCTACTCAGTGACTAAGGGGCAGGTAGCATACATGATCTGGACAAAAGGATGGTTCATATACTGGGCAGGATGGAGCAGGCGGCCTGAGAGTCCATAAGGCTACTCAGAACAGTGT